TGCTCGCTTCTTCGTGGAAGAAAGGAATACATGCGGTGCCATCAAAGATCTGGAGAGCAAAGACGAAAATGGTACACCACAAGTTCTTAAATAGGGACTGTAAAATAGATCATCAAATCACGGGCTTGTATTCATTTCTCTTTTCCTTTTAAAAAAAGTAAAACTAAAAACTTCAATAAAAAATAAAAAATAGTATCGTAAACTTGGTGGGTTTCTTTTCAACTTTTGAAGTCTGTTCCCTTTTCGGGCTTAATCAGATTATTTAAAAATACTATCCTACTAAAATTATTTTATTTTTATTTTTCCGCTGCATTGTTGTAATATTTTGACTAAAAAGTGTTAGTAAGTTAAATGATATATTAATTAAAATAATATAATATTCACGCTCTTTAGGCGCACTCAAATTATAATTCTCAAAGGATATACGCTCTTACGCTCCCGTTCTAGCTGGCTCTGCTAATTGGTAAGCTAAATCCATCGAGTCAATTCGGTAGACAAAGAGACTACTATCAGAATTCGTCTTCCATCACATATTGCCTTCCCTCGCAAGCACCCCCACGCTTAATTCTCACTTGGTCATTCCTCATTAGTTTCACATCTGACACTCACCGGCGTCATAGGAGTGCGACCTCCATCGCGTGATGAATACATGTTATTGTAGTGTTTCTTAGGAGCTCGAAGGAGGATAGCGGAAAGTAGCAGATAGAGAAACAAATGTAGATAGTTCGGCTAGGAAGAATATTATCCATATTTAGATGAGATTTTATATAATTTATAAATATATGAACAATATAATGACTTCTTCATATATCCGGGCAAAACCGGACTAAAATGAATGAACCATTAACCTTCAACCCACTTAATCGACCGGGCCAACGGGCTAAACAGGGATGACAACCTTTGATCTTTAAAATCCATATATTCTAAAAAATTTGGTGTTCCAATTTTTATGATTGAGTCAAATCGATCAATAATTGTGGATTTTCAGAGAGTGGTTGAAAATCAAAAGTCGGTCTTCAAGTTTCTTTCGTGACAGACAAGTTTTTGCATTTAATTTAAGAATGCTTTTTTTTATTGTCGCTTGCTTGCTCTACTATTGGTTGAGCTGCTAGCATTTTTTTTCTAATAAAATTTTTCATCATTCATAAAAAAGACAAGTTTTTGCATTTAATTATTGTTGGGTCGAAGGAAGAGAAAACGGTCTAGATGGAGAATATGACTGTAGCTAGTAATTATTGGGAGTTATAGATGGAGAAGATAAACCATAATAGGTGCTAAATTTAATTTGATAATGCTTATATACTATATATTACAAGGACATGTTTGATTTGAAAAATAATAGAGGGATAAATTTGAGAAAAATGGATAATAGAGTGACAATTTATACTATTAACTCCACATGGAAAGTCAAAGAGTATATTGGTAGAGTAGAATTTAAGCTTTTATAATGTTTGGATTCTCTTAACTTTGGTACGTGCATTAGTATCTAATTCTTAACAACCTCACTTATTATTCAAACAAGCCTATACACTAAATTATAATAAATTATACAATAAGCATTATTTTTTTTGTATTCTTTCATATTTGAGATTTTGAGGCATAATCTTTTCTTTATTCTCTTGATTTTTTATATACCTTCAATTTCTACCAATTCTAGATTACATATATTTCCTTCCAACTCCAAATTTATATCCGATAATAAAAAGTCCACAAATTTCTTCTAAGATATAGGGGAAATAATACAAAACAGTAAACTAGGACAACTTGATAAAAAATACATATTAACTAATTATTGCTAATGTTATAATCAACAAGTACCATAAAGATTACTTTGAAATAATGAATTAGCTATTTTAGAATTCATCTGACCAACGGGTCAGGTAAATATTTTAAATATGATTATAAATTAATCAATGTAAAAGATAAAACAAAACTCATTCGGTTAAGGATCGAGTAAAATCTAGCTTGATAATATTTATATAACTTAATTTCAGTATTTATCCATGTTTATGAAGGTGTTAGGCACAAAGCGGCGTTGGGGCCTTCCTTAGCACTTAGCTCGCCTAAGTGTGTCTAGGTGTTCGAAGCAAAATTATATGATAGCTATGAAAATGATGTGAAAATTATAAATTTTTAAATTTTTAATTGCCACATCAGTTAAACTTAACGGAGACTAACAGAGTGTGACCAAACTTGAACATAAAAACTACTTTTAGTGACCATGAATAGAATAAAATACTTTTAGTGACCAAACGTGAACTTTTTAATACTTCCAGTGACCAACCTTGCAATTTACCCAATAAATGAAATAACAATTTACAACACTTAATGTAGTATATGTAATTAATTACTTACCACACATAACAACAAGAAAATTATCTCAAAAGTTGATAGAATAATAGCTCAACACCTCACAAAGTTCTTGGCCTATTGAAAAGATTGATGTAGAAGATCGAGTTTGTAAATGATATCAATTCTCACCTTTGATATTGACTACCTATCTCCATCTACTTATGCATAGGTGACATCTAGATGTCGTCTTAATCTTTCAACGTATTACTGATACCTAACTAGTTGTGAAACCCTTAGGCGAAACGTTTTGACGTTGTCCAGGGCCTAGGCGTGCCTAATTAAGCATAAGTTTAAGTGCATTTTTTTGAATAATGGTATTTACATAATTTGATTTGAATATTGACACGAAATATTCGATGTATGTTATGCGAGTACGTATTGAAACAAGGTGAATATATTCACCTTTATATAGGTTGAAAAACTTGCATGTAAAAAAATATTGATATTGTATCACCCATATCCTAGTCAGGAAAATCCAATCAAATAAATCAAACCACCTTTGTTGTACTTGTACATCTTGTGCATTGAAATTCAGCAAAGACGAGGCATCTCTAATCATGGAATTACCACCTTCCCTTTATTGTAAAAAACCAATTCTTATTTCTTTTATATATTAAACTAATTTTGTACCCGGTCCGTTGGCCGGGTAAATTTTGTTTGAAATATGTTTTATGGAATATTTTTTCTCCTACATTGTCTATTTTGTTCACGCTATCATTGTCGTCTCTCATCCCGAATCATGTGTACCTTTGAGCTTGATCAGTTGGTCGGAAGTGATTGTTCTTTAAGATAATTTAGTTTGTACCACACGACAATATTTTAACACCCATGAAATTGTTGTGCATTATTATTATGATAGTACAAAATTAAATATTGATATAATTTAGTAACTCATTAGAATAAGAAATTTGTTTTATGACAGTAGAATCGAATGATATTAATATAGTTTAGCAACTATCGAATATGAGAGTGACTTGTGAATATATGATTGTGATAATGTTTTTGAAAGAAAAAAAATTCAAGTTATATCAAAATGGGTATCATTGAGTAGATCACATAAAATCTGATTTTTTTGCGCAACAATAGTTAAATTCGGAGTTGAAGCGGAAAAAATATGGATCAAATAAGAATAGTATGGTGATTGAAAAATAAGAGAGAGTGTGTTAAGTCAGTGGCACAATCTAATTGGAGTACAGAATAACTACAAAGAAAAATTATAAAGAAAAGAAAAAAAGAAGTTACGAAAACATCTGATTGGTGGAAAGGGAAGTTAAGAAAAAATCTGATTGGTGGAAAGGGTGTTGATGTGGATGCGTAGGAGGGCTGGATTTTTGAAACGATGAAGATGGTTATTGGAAAAGTCTTTATATATTTTATAGATTCAGTGCCCGCCTTTGCTTTGACACGTCAATCGGTTAAAAAAAACATGTTCACACACAAGAAGCGAGGAATGTCACTCGATAGTTGTAATTAAGCTAAAGTTTCCATCTTGGGAATTTCCGTTGCATACAAAACGACAAACGCAAAACATCCCAAAGCCCATAGTTTACGGCATCTTATAAATAATACAGATAGCTGAAACCGAAATGGATCCTAAGACTTTCTATGCTTAACTAGTTACCAACAGACAGGACAGCATCTGCCGTTCCAGCTGAATCTTGGAGACATAAAAAGATACGTTAGTCTTGGTTTACTGTAGTGTATTTGGATTTTAAAGTATCGGTTGTTATTTGTGCGCAATAACATGTAATAGGTATAGTAATTTTGGTTAATAGTTAATACAATCTCAAATATATTGTGAGAATTAGATATTCGTCAAATGCGTCTTTCGATTTATGATTAAATAAGTGATAACCACATATCTATCATAAAAAAGGTTAATGGTCTAATTATCACTCGTTTAACAATAAAATATAAATTTGACACAAATACATTAATCGAACAATATTTTTAAATATGAATAATTTATATTACCTCCAAAGTAAATACATGTATGTCATAGCAAGACAAGCAACGTGTTGCTATAACTTGAAGATAAATTATTTGTTGTCGACTGAAAGTTATGAGGTTTCGTTGTATGGGTTATACACATTTATATTACTGCTTTGACCCGGTCTCTAACATTTTTTTTTTCCATAAGTCGGATTAGGGTAGGTCATCTGAAGAAGATGCTATATATTTTTTTTAATTTTACCATATGTATCTTTTCAATTATAATGAAACTAGTCTCTCCTACCCATGGATTAAATTGTCAAACACAAGGCCGATTAAATCAAAATAGAATTGGTTGGTTCAATACAGAAATATTGCTTGATTCAAGTGCAAAACGTTAAATTGTAGAAGTAAAAAAAAAAAAAACATTTAAACCCCCCTTTTTACAAAATAGCGTTCCAAAATACCTTCCATCTCTCTTAACACTTGGACCATATCGGCAATTTAAATTATACGCAATTAAGAATTTCACTCTACATGATTACAACCAACTAATAAACAACTAAGGAAAGAAGTTCATCATGCTTTAGAAAGAAGTCAAAAGATCAGTTTGGCCAACTATAAATCAATTCTCGACACATACATCGCAACAATTTGAGAAACCATCACGTCACATCAAATCCTTGCAACTTTCCGTTTGTGCAAACCCAACCATCATGAGCTCCGTACGGAACGACAACTGGCCGCCGTTGTCGCCGTCGGCCAGCGAGGACAGCCACTTCCTCGCACTCTCGCCGTTGGATCTCGACAGGTTCGACAACCAATGGTTTCAGATGTTCTCCCCTTCATGGCAGCAGCTCGAACCGGAGGAGGAAATCGACCAGCCCGACCAAACCCTAGTCGAACCGGCCGTACAAGTGGGCCCCACCGATCCTCCTCCTCCTCTTCCCAAGCCAACCGATAATCCTCAACCTCCACGCTCCTCCTTGGAGCTCCTCCAGAAGTACGGCGGCGGTGGCGGCGGGGGCGTGAGCGGGAATAGGCCGTCTTCTTCATCCACGTGTTCCACTCCTCCGCCGCAGTGGCGGCCCTTGGCCGTGGAGGAGGCGCTGAGGATCGCCGGGAGGAGGATCGTGGAGTTCTCTTCCGGAAAAGCTGGGGCGCCGTCGATGCTCAACATCCCTTTCGATCCTTCGCTCTCGCACCTCTGCGAGGATGACGTCAGAAGCGTGGAGCTGGCGGAGTACCTGCTGGCGGCCGCGGAGCGGATCGGGGACAAGCAGTTCGACCACGCCGCCGCTTTGCTGAATTTGTGCGAGTCGTTGGCTTCGAATACTGGGAACGCCGTTCAGAGGTTGGGATACTGCTTCTGCAAAGCCCTAAGAAAGAAGATTGCTCACGACACAGGTAAGTCAATATCAGATTCTGTGAAATCGTACCGTATCGAAGGTTTGATTAAATTTTTTTTATCGACGTCTAAATCGAAAGAATATTTTTAGCAGTATGAAACGGTTGAACCACGATTAAATACGTTCTCAGTGATAATGAAACATTGTAATTAAAACTGTATCATTTTATTGAATTCTGAATCGTTAAACATTTTTTGAGGGGTTAATGATTGAACTATGGTTAAACACGATCTCAGCCAAGCATTGTAAAACCATAATCAGATTCAGAGGTTGTATCAGAAAAATCAGTTATAGGTTATTCTATACTGAAATTGTGAATTAATTGTGGTTCAACCATTACATACAGCTAAAAATTACATATCTGTTTAATAGATAATAGGAGATTTTCTCGATAGGACCATTAATATGATACATTTTTATAAACATTAATATTATCACAAATAAATACCCTATCACTAACGTTTTTTCTTATAAAAAAGCTCTAGGACGATCATTGATCAATATACAGAATCAATCCATTCATTAAGTGACCGGTTCGAATTAGGTTCCCTTTTATACCACTGTGTAACATATTTTTTTCCCACCTTCATTATCACTAATCCAACCCCTTCTTAACTATACCAATATTTACCATGTTTAATCTGATCCATCCGCCATTTTCACGCTTAAATATGCTAACGAACTACAGTTCTACGTACAGGTAACAAACCACCTCAAGAAACTAAGACATCGGTCCGAAACGCGAATGAATCAAAGGTGCTGACATCGGATTTCATAGTAAAAGCAATGCAATGTGGGGCCATCCCAATGTTCCAGGTGCCACATATAGTTGGCGTCCAAGCCATAATAGAAAACGTGGCAAAAGCAAACAAGATCCACGTCATCGATCTCAAAATCGGGAACGGTCACCAATGGGTTGCCCTAATGCAAGGTTTGACGTCACTGTCCGACCGAGAACCGGTCGAGCTCCTTCGGGTAACCGCCGTAACAACCACCAATTCCGACCAGTCTTCCATCGAAGACACGGGAAGTCAGCTCACGAGTTTCGCTCAGACCATAAAAGTTTCGTTTCAGTTCAACATCGTAGTTATCGAGGATGAGGATGCGGCTTCTGATTTTCGGGCGGACCGGTTCGACCTAAACCCGACCGAAGAAGCGTTGGTCGTGTACTCGGAGCGCGTGCTGCGAACCCTGATCGTGGATTCGCGTCGGATCGAACGGATGATGAGGGTGATCAAGCAGATGAACCCTCGAGTCATGGTGACCGTCGAGGTGGAGGCGAATCTCAACTCTCCGAATTTCACGAAGCGCTTCGTGGAGACCATTTTTTTCTACGGTGCGACTTTTGAGAACCTCGAGAGCTGCATGGCACGAGACGACCCGAACCGGTTGTGGATCGAGACCGGGTTGTTTGGAAGTCAGGTTGGCAACATATTGGCTAGCGAGGGCGAGGACAGGTACGTGAGGAGCGTGAACCTCGCAGTGTGGAGGAAGTTCTTTTCCCGGTTCGGGATGGTTGAGGTCGAACCGAGCTTGACGGCTTCCCACCAGGCCAAGTGGTTCCTCAACAAGTTTGCCACCGGAAGGTCGTATACGATTGAGTCGAATGAGAGGAGCTTAGTTCTAGGGTTCAAAGGTACACCTATGCTTAGCGTGTCTACTTGGAAGTTTATTCAGTTTGCTCGGCTTATAAGTGACAATCATGAGCTGAGAGTAGAGTTCTACTAACTCTTTTGCGCAAAAATGAAAAATAAGATGGCGTGAATAAAAGATAAATGAAGTAATGTTTTTTATGGCCCAACATCTCTGGATATTTCTTTTAGGGGTTGTTTGGAAGTTGCGATTGTTAAATAGATGTATTGTTGAGAATGCATGTATAATATTATACATGTATTGTCGAATTTGATGCATTGTAGAATACAACGTTTGGTATGTGTGATTGTATATGTCACATAAGCTAAAAGCTGAGACAAAACAATCCCAACTCAACTATCTCAACAATCACAACTAAAAGTTGAGATATAACAATCACTCAAAATGAGTGATAGTTTATGTCACATCACAGAAACAATCCATGTATTGTTTCTGCTGAAAAAATAAAAAAACGATGCATTGTAAACAATACATGCATAATGACAATCTCAACAAAACAATCGCAACTTCCAAACGACACTTAAATAAAGTTCTCTTTTTCATGGTGAGTTGTTTCTCTAGAAAATTCTCTCCTTAGAGCCAATTAACACAGTTTGTAGGGTTGGAACTGTTTTAGAGACCCTCAACCTCAACACTGTGTTCAACTAGTTCCTTTTGATTGTAAACAACAACAAAGCACAGTTTCAGGACACTTTTCAAAGAGGGATTGATGTGGTTCAAATAAGAGTTTTTATTCCACATGGTTAAACCGCCAAAACCAAAACCCATTGTTTTACATAAGTAAATAAAACGAGAAACTGCTAGCTAGAAAGATTGTGTTGTTGTGACTTGAATCGGACTATCTAACTACGACTGGATCGTGTTCGTTTTTTCCCCCCATTATTTCTTGCTTTGTCGATTCCTCCAATTCCTCAATGCAGAGAAACATTCATGACAGATTGTCTATCTCTCTTGATATGGAACGTCTCTCTCATCTCTAAATCCTTCTTATTCTTTATATGTCGTTAGCCTCCTTCGAGTATGTGGATTACATTTGAATTGATAAAAGTCACATCATCAGGTCTTGTAATGGTAATGCAATATATAGTACTCTCCCCAGTAATCTCGTATACATTTTAAGAGTCTTCCAAATGTGTTCCTTAGTTTGTAGTGAACTTGGCCTTTGGATCATTGGGAGACTTAGCTTGCACTCTTTTATTTCTAGTTTACTTGTGTCCTCCAAGAGTTTCAACCGATACTACCTTTGTCACCCTGTCATTCTTTATGTTGTTCACTATAATCTTGCCATGTACACATTCGATAAACACAGAGTAGTGCGAGGAAGATCGAGAGAAACCTTACCCGAGATGGAAGTTTATGAGCTTTGCAAACCATTCTCCAAAAGCTTTTTAAAACCATAGAGTGACTTCTTAACTTTGCAGGCCATAGGTCTAGAGCTTGTCTCAGGCACATCAAGTCCGCGAAGTATCTTCATATAAATCTCTATGAAGAAAAGCATTTGAGACATCAAGTTGCTCAAGCGTTCAGTTCTTTATTGTGGCTATAGTCAATACGACTTTCATGATTTTATCTTGGTTACTGGTGTGAAGGTATCTAAAAAATCTATGTCATGGACCTGTATTCCTTTGTCACTAGCTAGTCTAGCCTTGCATATCTCAACTTATACATCTGACTTCAGTTTGATTTTGTATATCCATTTATTTCCAGCTGTTCTCTGACTTGGTGGAACATGCACAATATCGCAAGTTTGATTTCCAATCAATACAGAGAAAATGATTGACAGATTCTCTTCTTAATAAAAATGCAGAGAAAATGATTGACAGATTCTACTTTTTAATAACTCATACACCATCTATTTGGTAATTGCCAACCTCATTGTTGTAGGCAATCAAGTGTAAGAAGTTTCCCTTGGAAGACAAGCCAAAGATAAGCAAAAATCTTGCTTGGTATATTGTTGTAACCCATATGCTCGAGAAAGGGCATTTGACTGATTGTGCTAAGATCCGAGATGGCTGTGATCTCTGGACCCTAGCTAGGGGTGACAAACGATAAGCCGGTAAACGGTTTACCGTTTTACCGAACCGGTAATCGGCGGTAAACGGTAAACCATTTACCGGCGGTATCGGTAGCCGAGTGTCAAATGGTGAAGCTCGGTTTACCGACCTTAGTATCGGTAAATACCGACGGTAAATCGGCAATACCGATACCGACAAGTGCGCAACTTTGAGTTCGCCAAATATTAAGTTAAGGCATTAACATATCAACATATACTTCATTATTCACAAATATTACATACATGAATGGAAGTAAGTAAGTATAGGCCTCAAAAATATAAAAATAAGAGTTAATAATAAATTATTAATTACAAAAATGAAGAAGAAAACTCAGAAAAATCAAAATATTACATCACCCACTGCCCAGAAATTTGGTTCGGTAATTTTCCGGTAAACCGAACCAAAAAACTATCCGCAACTACTCCTTACGGTAAGTCGGTAAAACCGCTTTGTAACCGTTTACCGGTAATTCAGTAACCGGTAAACCGGTTACAAACCGGTATCGGTAATCGATTCCCCTTTACCTACACTCGCCATACCGAAAACCGATAAAGTCCGGTTACCGACCGAATACCACCCCTAACCCTAGCATTCAATAATAAGAGAAGGTTGATGATCAAAACACTTATGGGTTCTGTCTCATTCTATATTCTAATCCTAGTCAGCAATATCAAATAATTAAGAGATTGTTTGGTATTTGCTATTATTATAATTGATGTACTCAATGAATGCTTGCGTTGTTTGAATATAATGTGTGCATCGAGATTTCGATGTTTGGTAGTTGTAATTATAATTTTAGGAATAAAATGAACAATTCATTTTTTGAATGAAAGTCATGTTTATACTTTCTTTTAGATATAAAAGTCAACCATGTATAAAATCTGATAGAGGCATGCATAAAGGGAAAGAAAAATAGATAAACTTGTCAACAATCTCATCACATAATTGAAATTCTCAAATTCTAGATCATTCATTCCAAATCATTTCAGTTGTCACATAAACAATCAAATGATTGCATTGTGTCTCATTTTGAAACCCAAAAACAAAACATTACATACTATACACAGAGGCGGAGTCTCGTTGTCGTTGATGGCAGGGGATGCTATGCTATAGCCTCCTTCAACTCTCAAAATCATGTACAAAATATAGCAGATGATAAAATTTTAATCCTTTCCTATTTAAATCCTCAAATCGTAAATTTTTAGCTCCACTTATTTTAAATGTCTGACTCTATCACTAACAACATATACATTCATTAAATATATGATCTAAAATAGGCATATACCAAATCGCTCTAAATAAATCGAACACCTGTGTTGTGCTGGTACTTCTTGTGCATCGAAAAATGCAAGACGAGGGATCTCTGCCATCATGGGATTTGGGTTCTCTCTCACAATAATATTAAATTCAGTGCCCACCATTGCTCAACACATCAATCGTTAAAAAAATACGCATTGAAAGTGAAACTGGGAATGTCAATCCATCGTTGTAATTAAGCTCAACTTTCCGTCTTGGGAGTGTCCGTTGCGTACAAAACGACACGAGCAAGACATCCCAAAGGCCATCGTTTATGGCATCAGATCATAATATTTAAGCCTGAAACCGCAATGGATCCATACTGACTTTCTAAGCATAAGCTTCCATCAGATGCGACAGCATCTGCCGTTCCCGCTGAATCTTGGAGACATCAGGAAGCGGTCTGCTGGTAGACTCTAGCGTATTTATTTGCAATAGTATGTATTTATAAGGGTATCTCTACTTTGGTTAATGCATTTTCATGTGGGTAATTGGGTAATTCAAGTGATTTGTTTGTTGTATGTATTTCATTATATTTCAGCAAATCAGTATTGTCGATTGTTATTTTTTATTCACTCAATCTTCAGGTTTTTTATTTAGAGAATTTCAAATCTGGGATTTATCAATGAGAGATTAGAGTGTTGTATCATATCAAACTCGTTTTAATTCTTAATTTAAACAGAAATATCCCATTATACACTTCAGGAATACATCTATCTGACCTATAGCGTCATAATTACAAATGCTTTCTATGTTGTCAGGTATTCAAAATCATATTAACAATATGAATTAGTGTCAGGCTGCTATACTCTAGAGTATACTATGCTTCAGGTACTCCAGATGAGATATTTCTATTCAGATCATGAATGAAATCAAGTTTAGGATAATTATACCATATTCTAATCTCTATAAATAAATCTCAATACTCTTTTTCTCTAAACACAAACCCGAAGATCCATTTAATTAATTAATAATAATAATAATGGACAATTGTGATTTTTTGAAAAACAATCAAATACACCTAACGGTCAGATCACTTGTAGTATGGTATACTTCATAAATACACTGGTTGTTAGTTGTTACCGTATGAATGATATAGATTTGCAATAAAAACTATATATTTAATTTTAATCAATTACATCCAAATACAAATTTCACATTCTTGATTTCAACATGCACCCAACCAAAACAAAAACCATCATCACAAAAAGTCAAAATCCCTTTCATCATTATAAAACCATTAATCGAGAGAAATCTCAACAATTTGTCAACCATCACATCTATGACTTAATAATAACCCCCATCAAACTTCTTTGTAACCTTCCCCATTGTGCAAACCAAAAACATCCACATACGATCATGAGCTCCTTAAGGAACGACAGCTGGCCGCCGTTGTCGGCCAACGCAGCTGCTGGCAGCCACTCCCTCCCGCTCTCGCCGTTGGATCTCGACAAGTTCGACGACCAATGGCTCCAGATGTTCTCCCCTTCCTGCCAGCTGGCACCTGAGGAGGAGGAGCTCGACCAAACCCTAGACGAAGAAGTGCTGTTGGAACAAGAAGTGGGCCCCACCACCGGTCCTCCTCCTCCTCCCCCCAAGCCAGCAGCCGATCAACCTCCCCGCCGCTCCACGTTGGATCTCCTCCAGAAATACGGCGGCGGAGGGAGCCGGTCGTCTTCTTCTTCCACGTGTCCCACTCCTCCGCAGCGGCGGGCGTTGGCGGCCGAGGAAGCGCTGAGGATTGCCGGGAAGAGGATCGTGCAGTACTCCTCCGGAAAAGCCGGAGCGCCGTCGATGCTCAACATCCCGTTCGACCCTTCGCTGTCGCACCTGTCGAAGGATGACGTCAGGAGCGTCGAGCTGGCGGAGTACCTGCTGGCGGCGGCGGAGCGGGTCGGGGACAGGCAGTTCGACCACGCCGCCGCTTTGCTGAATCTGTGCGAGTCGTTGGCTTCCAGGACTGGCAACGCTGTTCAGAGGTTGGGTCACTGCTTCTGTCAAGCCCTGAGGGAGAAGATTGCTTGCGACACAGGTGAGTGAACTCTTCAAGTTAAAGTTCGTACATATTTGAATATCATGAATATTGGAGGTCATCTTAATTTAAATACAAGATCTCTCAATAATTGCAAGACCTGATACCACATCATAAAAATGGGGAATTTAGTCGAAATTATTATGCTTAAACTTTATATAAAGTACCATGATAGACTTCCACAATAACTACTAACACAAATTTTGAATTCAAGTTGTCATCAAATCTAGTATCGATTAGAAGTCATATGGTAGTTGTTAGTACGTATCATATGCATAATTCTATGAGAGCTCAAGCCACAGGTGAATCCGAACAATCTAATCTATTTAGATTATAATAATTAATATATTTCCAACTGCATTTAATATAAATGAAAAACTCAAAACTTAGTGGCATTATTTGCTACTATTTGCTACATGTGTGGAAAGAACACTTACTGTAATGAATAACGTGAACAAACATTTTAGAAGATAAAATCACGATTGATTTTTTGGTGAGGTATATTATGAATGACATCTCTCATAATTTGCGAGATAAATGTATTTTTCAGAATACGAAGACACAAGTTATAACTTTTCAAGTTGGAGCTACCTTAGATGAATTATATTCATGGTTATTTCACTGATAAGGAGGATCATCTCTATAAATCTTGTATGACATAAGAGAGTAACATAGTTTTCAGTTTTCTTTAGTTATATCTACGTACCATTGAGGGTTTTTGAGAACCATAACAAATGAAATTAAGAAAAACGAATCACGTAATAAAAATTTGCATGCATGTGTTATATCTTAAATATGCTAATGAACATTCTTTGTACTTACAGGTAAAAAACCTCCTCAAGACAAGAAGAGATCGGTTCCTGACTACCATGAATCTCTGCTGACGTCGGATTTTGCAGTGAAAGCAATGCAACGTGGAGCCATGCCGATGTTCCAGGTGCCACATATGGTCGGCATCCAAGCCATAATCGAAAACGTGACCAAGGCAAACAAGATCCACGTCATCGATCTCAAAATTGGAAACGGCCACCAATGGGTTGCCCTAATGCAAGGTTTGATGTCGCTTTCGGACCGAGAACCGGTGGAGCTCCTTCGGGTAACCGCCGTGGCAACCATAACTTCCAACCAATCCTCCATCAAAGACACGGGGAAACGGTTGGCCAGCTTTGCCGAGAGCATTGAAATGCCGTTTCAGTTCAACATTGTGGTCATCATAGACGAGGACGAGGCGTCCGATTTTCGACCGGACCGGTTCGACCTGGACCCGGTCGAGGAAGCCCTGGTGGTTTACTCGGAGCGGGTGTTGCAAACCCTAATAGGGCAACCACTTCGAATCGAGCGAATGATGAGGGTGATCAAGCGGATGAACCCACGAGTCATGGTGACCGTCGAGGTGGAAGCGAACCTTAACTCCTCGAGCTTCACGGGGCGTTTTGTGGAGGCCATCTTTCACTATGGCGCGATTTTCGAGAACCTGGAGAGCAGCATGGCTCGAGACAACCCGAACCGGTTGTGGGTCGAGACCGGGTTGCTCGGCCACCAGGTTGGCAACATACTGGCTAGTGAAGGAGTGGATAGGTACGTGAGGAGCGTCAATCTTGACGTGTGGAGGAAGTTCTTTGCCCGGTTCGGCATGGTCGAGCTCGAACCGAGCTTGACCGCTTCGCACCAGGCCAGGTGGTTCCTCGACCGGTTCACGGCCGGGACGCCGTACACGATTGAGTCGAATGAGAAGAGCTTGATTCTAGGATTCGAAGGTACGCCTATGCTTAGTGTGTCTACTTGGAAGTTTATTCAGTTTGCTAGACTGATAAGTGACAATCAAGAGCTGAGGGTGGAATTCTACTAACTCTTGGCCCAAAAGGAAAAAATAACATGGTCTGAATACTAAATAAAGCCTTATTTTATGGCCCAATATCTCTGAATAGTTCTCTCCTTTGAGCCCACCAAATTACCACTATTATCATTTTATTCCATGACCAATGTCAAATAGAAGCTTTTCTGCTATATTGGGCCCCAATAACTTGGCTGTACAACCATATTCAGAAAATCAGTACTCATGAGCAATTGAGCATAGCCACATTTGTAAGTGTGATGAGACTACTCAATATTGTTGTTGGTGATGATATTTTTATTTGAATAAGAAAAAAGAGTAAATTATTATTATGAGATCGTGTCCATGATGCTTCTTTAGTTGTATGATCACATTAATATTTTTCATTTATAGATGTTAACAAGTGATTCCTAAATTTGACATAAAACATTTGTAAATATTCATTTGTAAGATTTGGAAATAAGTTTTAAAAAAATTTACAATATCTTTTTCGATTGTTTACCTAGCAACACTAGTCCATTGCACGCACCTAAATGTGCGCCCAAATGTGAGCAAGAATCACCCTTGGAAATACCTTTCCTTTTACATAAATAGAAATTATTCTTACAATCAATTAGAGCAAAGAAAGGACGAGATTTTTTTTTTTGTGGTCATGCACAGTAGGGTGGCTATACGGTCCGGTTAAATTGTACCAAATTGATTCGGTCCCAGTCCGATCTTTTCGGGAATATAAGGACCAAAGATTGGATTGGATACACTCCGTTCTTGATCCGGTCCAGTCTTGACCCGATCCGGTCCCAATTTGATTTTGATTTTAGATTGAGCTTGTGGGGATTTGAGTGTTGAAGTCTGTTATCCGGTTTTTATCCGGATTTTTTACCTCAAATCTAAGCCCGAATACGAGATTGGATTGTTTGCTATCCAGTACCAGTCCAATCCTGGTACGGGTTATACGGTCCGGTTTCGGGTAAAACCAAACAATCCTGGACCAAATTGCTAGCCCTAATACACAGCCTATTATGACCACATCATTTCTCCTCTAGTAAAATTTTATATACCTTTTTATTAGTGGACTAGTAGTTGAGGACTATCCACCACTTTATAAATAAATACGACCAAAATGATAGAATTTGACCAAAGCGAGGCTCCCAATGAAAAACAGATCGCCGTATTTAAAAAAAAAAAACATTATGCCCATAACGGCTCTGCCTTGCTATTGTCTCCACGATGTTGCATTTGGCTCGTACCCTATCGCCTCAATTCGGCAGCGAACAATTCCTCTTCTCATAACAAGTTAACAACGCTCCACGTGAAATCAGTCAACGAGTCTCCCCTGACTCATATATAAACCACACAAATAAGGAAACCTACCAACTACCAATAATCCTCCACTTTGACCTTTACTTTCCCATTTGATCTTCTCCTCCATCGACCCTCCTATGGCGCAGAACAAACCATGGCACGAGAACTTCGCCGACGGCGACGATGACGACGTCGACGTCCATCACCTCCACCAAACCTCGGGATTCATGGGCAAGACCGTTGCCAACCAACAACAAGTTCTGCCGCTCACTTCCGCCACGTTCCAGCTCCTCAACCACCGAGCCGTCAACAACAACGAGGAACAACCATCCTCCTCAATCACGAAGCTGTCGATCGAGGAGACGATCAGGCTGGCCGCCACGAGGATTGTGGGGTGCTCGGACTCGGACCGAGTCGGGATCCCATCCCTGCTCAACGTCCCGTTCGACCCGTCCATCACGGGCCTGTCGATCGAGGACCAGAGGAACGCCGAGCTGGTTGAGTACCTCCTGTCCTCGGCCGACAGGGTGGGCAGTCGCCAGTACGACGAGGGGATCGCCCTCATCGAATTGTGCGACTGCCTGTCTTCCACCAACGGGAACGCGGTCCAGAGGGTGGTCCACTACTTCGCGAAGGCGTTACGGGACAGGATCGAGAAGGAAACAGGACGAAATAATTACCACCAGCCAAACGACAGGTCGTTTGGCATAGACTTGGGGGACGTTTTGAGGGTCCCGAGTCCTTCCATCCTCCTCTCGGCCCACGAGCGGTTCCCCAGCTACCAGATGCAACAGCTGGCATCCGTACAGGCCATGACGGAGTCCGTGGCGTCTGCCAGGAGGATCCACGTTATTGATCTCAAGATCAAGTCCGGGCTCCACTGGATCGGGCTGATGCAGGCCTTGGAATCTCGACCTGCTGGACCGCAGGTCGAGATTCTAAAGGTGACCGCCCTGTGCACCGGATCAGTCGAACCGGTCCGGTCTACGGGCGGGCGACTGGCCGACTTCGCCAGATCGAAGGGCCTGAACTTCTCCTTCGCGATCGTCCACGTGGACGACGTGATGGAGGTGAAGGAGGAGATGTTCGCGGTGGACCGGGGTAAGGAGGCGGTGCTGGTGTACTCGGAGCACGCGTTCGTGACCGAGATCGGTCGGCCCGACCGGATGGAGGCCCTGATGCGGGTCATGAGAGGGTTGAACCCGCAGCTCATGGTCGTGACCGAGACCGAGGCCAACAATAACTCCCCGCATTTCTCGGCGAGATTCGTGGACGCGCTGTTCCACTACGGCGCCGTTTTCGACAGCGTGGACGCGTGCATGGGAAAGGACGACGAGGAAGGGCGGGCGTTCATGGAGGGCGTGATGATGGGGAGGATGATAAGTAACGTGGTGGCGCGTGAGGGGGAGGAGCGCGTGGTGCGGGGCGTGAAGCTGGACGTGTGGCGGGAGTTTTTCCGGCGGTTTGAGATGGTGGAGCGGCGGCTGGGCTCGGTGGCGTGGCAGCAGGTGAGGCTGGTGCGTGAAACGGCGCCGAACGGGGAGTTTTGCACGGTGGAGAGGGACGGGAAGGCGATGGTGATTGGGTGGAAGGGGACGCCGTTGGTTTCGATCTCGACGTGGAAGTTTTTCCGGTCGGCGAGGCTCGTGAGCGGGACCAAACACTTGAGGATCGAGTTTGAGTAGGATAGAAGACCATGTTGCAGTTTGAATCATGAAATCAAATGAACGATACTATAACTATATATCTAACTGTTTCGACTCTTGATAATAAACTCTTTCTAGGGTTTTGGGTGGTCTTGTTGGTTTTGGATGTTGTGTTTGGGATGGAGTTTGGTGACATTTTCTCTCTGGAAAAAATTGAAATGGTTTAATTATTGAATGCTTATAATCATCACAATTCGTTTTATCTTTTCAATGAATGATTTTAAATATGTAAGGTCTTTCTCCGTTGACACTGTCCACGGCGCTAACAACGTAGGGTTCCTTGTAAGTACTTGTTTGTTTGACTGTTTGTCATATATATTATATCATCTCCATAGTTCAACTACATTGGTTTAGCAAAACAAAAGTCAGATGGTTAATCAGGTTCTATATTGGTTCCAGCAGGCTAAACACCAGCCATGTGGCGAAGAAACAGCTGTTCTATTGACATATCTCTATCTCTAGATGAAATAAGAAGCTAAAATGAGAAGGCCGAGACTAAAATGAGAATTCAGGTGTCGCAGCTGAGACTAAAATGAGAAGGCTGTTGGATTTACTATTGCTAATTCGCGGGAAAAACACTGATCATTACGTCCTCAAATGTTAGGAGCCTCATGAAAAATGCATTGGCTACATGACCAAGTCATCATATTAAAGATTGATATTTGTCAACTCTGTAGGCCAAACTGATTTTCCTTCAGAGAAAGTGTGAATGTCATTTTCCCCTCCAAAATATTACATTTCTTATCTTTCAACATTACCCAAAAAAATATTCTTATGATTATCATTTAGGAGGAATTTTACTATGTTATATATCAGCTATAGGTTTTTGTCTTTATGGTACAATTTGAAGTTGTACCTTTAACGTTATGGTATAACTTTATATTGTACCTATACTAGTTTGTACAAATTCTTTTATAGTACAACTTGAACTTGTACATTTATGTTGTAAAGTTGTACCATAACATAAGGGTACACATTTCTTTATGGTACAACCTGAACTTATACAGTTAAGGTTATGATACAATTTCAAATTGTATATTAAAGCACCAATACTTTATAGTATAGTAGAAGTGTCCATCATTTAGAGAGAAGATTGTCACGATGTACGACTTACAGAAGAAAAGAATGATTATACGGATCGAATTGATGTGTATTCTGCAAGAATAATGCAAAATCTACCAATCATTATTGATGCATTAATATATCTAGACTAAGCAAATATGCATATCATAAAGCTATAGTATAACCTCTTTAAATTAATAATCAATAAATTAATGATTTCTCCGGTTCTGACTTGGGATGGTGTAAAAAATGATCAAATTTAATAAAATAATAATCTTTGAGAACCAATCTACATAAATGCATGTATTTTCAACTATAAATTAATAATTATAAAAATATAATTAATCTAGATATTTATAATATAGCTAGGATAATCTAGAAAAATATTAATATATAGTTGTTTGTTTATTCTTGGCAAGCCACACCATCAAATCTTTTTGGGTGCATGATGGATGATCTCTCTTGTACTCACATAACTGTTTAAGCATTTGATCGGTCTTGTGGACTTTTCAGACACCTTTCAAATGAGAAGCCATTGTTGAATATGATTTTTACAATGTTTCAGCAGTACTATTTATAGTGATCAGGTCACCATATATTCCATGAATTATATTGAATGTATGATCAATGAATATAGGGGTGCAAGTAATTTAAAACATGAATCTAGACCATCTACGAGAATACATCAAAGACATTTATCTTGACATAATACATAATTTTCTTCTATTAAAATTTTATTGCAATAAATACGTCGAATGCGATAAGTTATCATATGAACTTGAAATGTTTGGAAAATACGATGAACGTACATCATAAGAAAAACCTCTTTAAATTAATTATTATTAATTTATCGATTAATTAATAACTACTATAAATTTTTACCGTCCGGACTACATTAATTTGTAGAGGTTATATGGTATATGTATCAGTGAGTGTCACTTCCTTTGTCGATTATATTTATGGAGTAGGTAAAAGTTTGTCCCGAGGCAATACCTATGGCTACATGGACAAAATCCACTATTTCGTTTCCCCACATATAGTTGGTTTGCAATGTGGCCAACACCTGCTAAGTTTTGTTTCACAGGATGAATTAAAAGGCCTATGCCCCTCTTGCTTGATGTGTTGTTTTTTTTATTCTTAATTAACCCTCAATAAGAATCGTCTATCTAAGAAAAACTGTGGTTTGCAACCACTCAGTAATAAAATTTCTCTTCAAAGACTCCAAAACAATATCGATAACTACTAATTATTTCATTTCGATAACTAAAATTGTTTACAAAGAGCAAAACCTGAACTTCTGACCTTCCTACAATAACTTTATAAAATATGGACACCATTAAAATAAATCCAAATCGCTTTAAGACATTTTCTAGAAGAAGGGGAACCAACAAAGAAATAGGAATTTGTAGTTTCTGGTAGGGTGCCGGTTTTAAAATGTCACGGAATAGAGGTATTAGGTAACTTTTATACAGAGCCACTATCCTTAAGTTTTAATATCATTTACTCTAAAAGATCATATATTACACAAGACTTACATAATATCGTTATAAAACTATTACTTAAATATACTCATGTTCATAAGTATCATTATACTTTGTGTAACTCAATCGACATATAAAACCTGCTATACCTTGTCAAACATACATTTAAGTCAGTATTATATTATAATAATAACTTAAATAGGTGTGTTTAACTCCTAATTAACAAGGTGATAGGAATATCCTATAACCTGGTATACCATTTCTTTACCTTCACACCCTCATCGGAACGTAACTTTCCCGTAATTTATTAAAGCTGCAATGTTGTTGTTCGGCTTCTAGTTTGACTTTACGCTAATGAGAACAATATTGCGCGTCGTTTGGAGCCTCCCGAATCACGTTGAGTTTTGCCTATAGCTCACTACAAAACAAATTGCTGGACTCGAAGCATCCAGCTGGTAAAAGTCAGAAAATAAAGAAAGAAGAAGAAGAAGATTGATCAAGGGAAACAAATTCCCGGCTTGTAACGATGTGTTCTTGAACTTGATTCACATAATCACATGGACGATATGTTCAATAATTAATATTTATGTCAACGGGCCGGTTTTAACCCTTTTCTATAATGACGAACGCCAATTGACATGAACCACTTTTTCGTCACCACTTGATTGTAGATTGTGGGTTGTCGCTAATAACGGAATTTTCCTAGGCTTTTAATTCATTCACTTGACCTGTAGATCACCACTCGCTCTCATCGTGATTGCCAAAGCAGAAAAAAGAAAACCCCAAGAAAGCCAAAAGTCTTTGCCCTAAAATATTAGTTTTTTGGGGTTGAAAACTATACGAGTTAGTTATTTTAATTTCTTGACATTTTTACTTGTGCGTATATGTGCATAGACATTATCGCCTGGATTTATTCCAGGTGTGTGTCAGCTGTGGGAAAACTTGTATCAAGGTGCCTGGTGGATTGTTAGCTTCCTATGCAATACATAATTAATTATCTATTTTTAGGGTTTATTCATAATGGTGGGGGGAAACTACGAGATTTGTACCAAACTGGTCATGTACTTGTTAGTTTTTTCCAAATTGGTCACTCAAACATTTCATAGAAACCAAAAATCTAAGCACGTACTTGAGTAGAACCAACCCTTCAATCTCATACCCAAGTACCCAACCCAATCACTAGTTACGTTGGATGTGGTTTCATTTTCGGGTTCGATATGGTTTGTTTGTTATGGGTTCGGTGTATTAGTTGGTGCTTGTTTCGGGCACCATGACAAGTCGCCAAGCAAAACATCTCTATGACACACAAACTATAGATCAATCTCAATTATGAAGTCTTCGTCAAGTCATTTAGGTATCAAGTGGTCTACATGAAAGTGTTAGGAGTCAGGACATCAAGCAAGTTACATCAAGTACTACAATGGTTGGAGGGGTGGCTAATGGGCAGTTACACCTGATGGCTACAAATAGGAGAAACAAAGATAGAAGAATGATTCCCAAAACCAACATTTGAAGTCATGTGTCAAACTTTTGCCTTTCTCTACAAAGTAGTCATATGAGTGGTTTCTGAAATTCTTCTTGGACCTTCATAAGAGCATAATAAAGTAATTTCGTTTGTTCAAAAATCCATAAAAAATATAAAACACCCTCATTCAAACTTTGCTTGAAAAGATGTGGATCGTGTAATTATTCATTGTACAAAGAATTCATAAATGCATCTATTAATATCAGCATAAGTTCTTTATCACTAGAAAACCGTACTTAAATTTGGTGTATTTGATTAACTTGGGTCGGAGATGAATGTAGTGATCAATTTCCAAAGTTATGTTATCATTTTAGAGATAATAAAATCAACAGTGACCATTATTACAAACCCCAAAATTATATGACCATTTTGAATAATTATTCTTGTCTTCCACCTATAGCCATTTGGGATACCGGCAACCATAAAGAAACAAAGCATGAATACTTCAACTCCATAATAAATATTTTTTTCTATTGACCTTGGTAGAGCTTATTTATAAGGACTCCCTACCTCCATTTCACAAACAACTTCAAAACAAAACATTCAAAGAGAGAGAGCTTAAACTAATTCCCCACATTGACTTTTCCCCTTCTCCCCTTCTTACACTCTCTAGTCATGGAGGAATTCTTCTTGGGTTCTGAGATGCAAACGTTGGATGATGATCAATGGCTCCTCTCCCCGTTGACCTTTGATCAAATCGAAGATCTCGACGATGACGAGGATGATCAATGGCCACTGGTGGATGCAAGAAATGAGCCTCGTCTTCGGTCGTTATCCTCGTCCAATCCGTTGAACAAACGTAAAGGCGGTCCGACAATGTCCTTTGATCAAATGGAAGATCTCGATGATGACGATGATGATGAAGATCAATGGCCGCTAGTGGATGGGAGAAACGAACCTCGTCTTCGATCTTCATCGACTTTCAATCTGCTGAACAAACGGAAAGAAAATCCGACGGTGTCATGCACGAGAGAACTGGATGATCCTCGTCCCATATGCGAGTCGCTGTCCACTGAAGACATAATGCGACTCGCGGGGACGAGGATGATCCAGCTATCATCCAAAGTAAAGGACATCGCTTTCGATTCTTCTCTTTCTGGACTCTCGGATCGAGAAGTTCGAAACGTGGAGCTAGCAGAGTACCTCATGTCCGCGGCCGATAAGGTTCGAACTCGTCAGTTCGACCATGCCTCGGGCCTGCTAGGTCTGTGCAACAGTCTGGCCCCCAGCGATGGGAACACAGTCGAGCGAGTGGTACATTGTTTCTCCAAAGCCCTCCGGACCAAGATAGCCAAAGAAACCGCGACAACCTACGACATGACGAACAACAAGGAGTTCGTGATCGACGAGAATCAGCTGATTTCCGACAAGACATTCATGACGTTCCACCAGACCGTGCCCTTCCACCAGGTACAACACATAGCCGCCACGCAGGCGATTCTGGACAACGTGGAGAGGGCGACGAAGATCCACGTCGTGGATCTCCAGATTCGAAACGGGCTCGAGTGGATAACTCTCATGCAAGCTCTGGACTCACGCCAAGAATACCCCGTAGAGCATCTCAAAATAACCGCTCTGGTCATAGGGAGCGGCAGCGCAATTGAAAATACTAAACGTACGGGCGACCAGTTGAAGAGTTTCGCCGAAACGATCAACATCCCGTTGTTTTCTTTCCACGTGGTCCAGATCCCAGACCTGAGGGACTTTCGGGCCGGTCTCTTCGAGACCGACCCGGAGGAGGCCCTTGTGGTCTTCTCCGAGTTTTTCTTCAACAAGTTCACCAGTCGTCCGGTCGAGCTCGACCGGGCGATGAGGGAGATCAAGACCATGAACCCCAGGGTCATGGTCATGATCGAGACCGAGGCGAACCACAACTCCCCCTCCTTCTCCTCCCGATTCGTCGAGACGTTGTTCCACTACAGCGCCTTCTTCGACTGCCTCGAGGCGTGCATGTCGCCGGAGCACGAGCCGGACCGGAGGATCATGGAGACCGTGATCGTCACCGAGCTCGTGACGAACATGCTGGCTGCCGAGGGGGAGGAGAGAGGGATGAGGTCTGTGAAGCTGGACACGTGGAGGTCGTTTTTCGCTAGGTTTGGGATGGTGGAGCAGGAGCTGAGCGATGTCCTTCTCTACCAGGTGAAATTGGTCACCGGAAAATGTTCCGGTTGGAAGTTTTGCACGACGAATTGGGATGACGGCAGCTTGACGATAGGGTGGAAAGGGACTCCGATGACGTCGGTTTCCGTTTGGAAGTTCGTTCGGACGGCTAGGCTCGTTAGTGGGCCCAAAGATTTGGTGGTGGAGTTCGTGTAAAGTTTGCTAGCTAGTTGCTAATTATTGCTAGGTTCCAATTTGTTTGCGTTTTCGAATTATTAGTTTTTTTAGAGGTAATCAGTGATCGGATAATGACATTTTTTCAATAATTGAGTAGTTTGTATCATAATATTTATATTTTTTGTTAAGAATTCAATCGAAAGCAACGGAGCTTTGAAGCGTCTATAACTAAAATGGAAATTATGGTTTGTCACGGAGTCAAGTGGGAAAGAACTGTTTGTTTTTATTGAAAAATTAATCTTATTGATAAGCTTGATGGGGAATCCAAATTTTAGAGCGTCTTATTTATGATTCAACGTAACTGATAAGCTTAAAAATGGAATGTATGGCCTCATTGAGTCAGATGATTAAGACCCACTTTTTTGTTGTGTCTATATAGTAACGACTAGGGATGGGATTAGGTGATAACTAGCAAAAATCACTACGGATTATTATAAAATTAATACAACATTTAAGTTAAATCACTACTAATTCAAACTAGTAGTCGTTTTTCCCTTGATTATGACGGTGCTAACTATTGTACAATTAGCACCGTAACCCCTCCCTAACGACTAAAACGCCCTTAACTGGGAGAAGCTAGGGTGCTAACTCCTATGGGGTTAGCATCATCCTAACTTATATCTAAACCATCCACTATTGTTTTAATCTAACGGCTATAATGAAAGAATGGGTACAATAGGGATAGCAGCAAAAATATATTAAATTTCGAATTAAATTCTTCGGTTATTCTGCATAGAGGCCGGATTTTGTGGGATCCTTTACTGGACGGTTTATATTTTTATTCTGGGAGAGTTTTGTTCTCCATTTTTTTATATTTTGATCACTACTAATATGTAATACTATTTGCGGAATCGCTACGAATACTATTTGCAGAATATTTACGAGTAGAAACACTACCCCCATACATGTAAAGAACACTGCTACAACGTACCAAAATAAAGAACACCACTTAAAAGTTTCATTTCCAAAAATTACAAAAAACTCTACTACTTGCAGAATCACTACTGATAAATATGAAAAGCACTACTAAGTCTTGCAAAAATTGGAGAATACTACCAAAATAATGCCCAAATAATAAAAAAAAAAACACTACCACCGTAGATCTGAAAACACTGCCCCTATAAAACTAGAGAACACCAAGTAAATGTTTCATTCCCAAAATTACAAAACACTACAAAACTAGAGCTAATAAACGCTACTAAATCTGATGAAACACTGCTAGTCTTTGATAATCACTACCACTCTAAATCTGACCAAACAGTAGGCGAGACATATACTAGATCTTAAATTATAACCCATTTGAAGCCTCCTAAACCGAACTTCAATTCACCCATAGTGGAGACGATGCAAGCGAGGCTGATGCAGATTGACAATGCTGGTGAGGGCGGTAGAAGCAAGGCACCACAGACGAGTCTGATGCCGACGCAGATGAAGGCAGCGGAGGCGAAGGCGGCACATGCAAGGTCAATGCAGAGAACGACTATGCAGGCGAGATTGTTGCAGACGACGTCAGCGCAGGAGATGGAGGTTGAAGATGGCTACGACGAAGAGAGAGGTGTGGTCGGAGACCAGAGAAATTGGCTCTGGATCGTCAAATTGTGAAGAGAGAGAGAGAGGAAATTGGCAGAGGAGCAGCTATTGGGTTTCTCTTTCTCCCCTCAAAAATCGCACCCACTTATCCCTAGGCTGGGATCACATGCATTCTTACCCAAAATAGCCCTCCATCCAAAATACCCTTAGATTTGCGGAAACATGAATGAATGAAGATAGGAGTTATTATGATGCTAACCATTCATACCGTTAGCATCACATCCGATCCCATCCCCTTAACTTGGGTTAGGGTGATTACTTGTTTTTTAGTAATCACGGTGGCAACCTCTTTATATACCATTTAATTAAATATTTTTCCTTCTTTTTTAATCTTACGATCAAGATTCTTTTAGGGTAATTTTGGAAATTAAAAAGTGACCACACATGATTATTCTATATAATCTACCTAAACCCTAGTTCTATCCTCCATCTAGCCAAACCCGTCGCAGCCGCCATCACTCCTGTCGCACCGCCGACAGCAGCCCCGAGCACCCTCGGCAGCAGCCCCCGACCACCCTCGGTACCCTCTCTCTCCCTCTCTCTCTCTCTCTCTCTCTCTCTCTCTCTCTCTCTCTCTCTATCTCTCTCTCTCTCTCTACATACCAAATAGACATAAAAACCTAGATCTAGTAATTTTTGTTTATTGATTCAATGTGCAGTGGTATTGGTTACTATATGCAATGGTATAGATTGTTTATATTGGTAGTTTTCGTGTAATGGTATGGATTTATTTCTGCAATGGTATTGATTGTTTATGGTATAGATTGTTTATATTGGTAGTTTTCGTGTAATGATATAGATTTATTTCTACAATGGTATTGATTATTTATGGTATAGATTGTTTATATTGGTAGTTTTCGTGTAATGATATAGATTTATTTCTGCAATGGTAGTTTTCGTGTAATGGTATAGATTTATTTCTGCAATGGTATTGATGTTTTTCAAAGTGGTAGTGTTTGTCTAATGGATTAGTATTGATTTCATTTTTTTTTTTTTGCAGAAAGATTGAGAAAAATATGAAAAGGAAATCTGGCTGGAGATTACGGAAGAGAGAGAAAGAGAGAATTTTAATTAATAGATTTTTGTAACTACCTAAAATGTCATTTATTAAAAAATTAATTAATATAATTTATTTTTCCATACCCAATTTACCCTTAGTAACCACAGTGATTACTATAAAGTAGTAATCACCGTAACCTGTCCCGCTCCTCCCTGATCTATTTGGATTAGTGACATTTGGTTGTAGTTTTATCAAAAACTCCCTAATGTTAAATAAATATTTAAATTCAACGGAAAAAATTATTTAAGCATACTCGTATTTGGGAAGAAAAATAACAAAAAATCAATATGATCATTATTAACATCTCATCCTCAAGGATAGTAAGATCAATTTCATCTTTCACTTTTTGAACTTAAATTATTTCAGTATTTACATCCCATAATATAAGGTTTGATGTCATGGTGCATGGCAGTGGGTTCGAGTGGGTAGGACATCTAATTTTAAATAGTAATTATTACTTTTATTCTCACATTTAGGAAAAATCGATGCAAAAATCATATTGGTCAGATATTTCTCGATAAAGTATATTTCTTCGAGTTTAATGGGATAATGACTTGCCTCGCCTCTCTCATCTGTCAAATTCATTGTCTTAGTCTCTCTCTCTCCTTTCACAAATCGTGAATCATGACACTAAATCTCACTCAGTCCCTCTCACTCACCTTTCACAAAGACTTAGTTTTTCCGCTATTTTCAATCCTCAACCATTTCATCTTGCTTCTCCGACCCCCTCTCTCTGGACTATGGAATTTTGTCACGTTCATGTATGTCTCTTAGTTCGTGATGGTTAGGTTAGGGGATGGGTTGGAGCCTAGAGGAAGGGGGAGAGCAGAGAGAGAGAGATGATGGAGACTGGAGAGGGAGGAAGCGTCGGGGGAGGGAGATCAAGAGGAGGGAAAGAAGAATCGGGAAAATTTCTTTTATTTGAGTAAAAAACAGTGGTCTAGGAGGAATTTATCAATTTGATTTCTGAATTTATATTGGATCGAACGAAAATTGTTTCGTCAGGTTTTGATTAAAACCGTTTCAGAAAATGTCATATTTTTCGAGTTTTTTATTTTCGCCTAAATTGAAACAAAAAAAATCTTGTTATTCTGGTAATGTTTGACCGGATTGGATTGATTTCCCTCCTATAATTATTGGACGGTCTCTATGGAAAAAAAAATCTTTTTATAATTGGGCGTGTGGGCCTTCATTCATTTAACCAGACTGGGCCAGAGAATGGCCATCAGCCTCCAGCGAGTGGTACAAGAGTACGAACCCAATGGCCCAAAAAGTGTGCAACATAATTTGAGATCACCGGCCGCCCCGCATTCTCTTCTCTTTGCTTCGCCAGCTCATGAATTCTGTCACACCAACCTCTGTTTGGTTTAGGATCGAGATTATACAATGGTTCGCCAGGTTAGAAGGCCGATATCAGTGCTCCAAGAATTTACTTCTTTTTAGCACAGCCCACGGCCCCATATTTTAGCCCAACTGAAAGCCACAAATCTGCCCACCAAAGCATTGGCTCGTCTTTGGACCAAGGCCCACTTCAATACCTGTCTAAATTGTGCTAATGCTTCTTTAAAATTTTTATTTTATTTGATAACAATGCTTCTTTTAATTAAACATCACGTGACTGTATCCATGGGCGTAGAAAGATGTAGACTTGAAGGAAAGGACACAGAGACAGCCCAAGTATATTGCACACTGCACAGTAATCCTCGAGTCAGCGAGTGTGAGCTTTGATGTAGATAAAACATTATTTACCATTTTATTGATATTTAATATTTTTTTATTATCATGCTTTCTATCATAATAAAATTAGTCTATATCTTTTTCAAACCAACACAAAACATATTAATTATTATATGGGTATTGTTATATATAATGCTACTTGTTATTTTAAATAAAACCTTTACATTAACTTTCTTTGAAAATTGTAATGATTCCAAATTAAATCATTCACAACGACACATAGCCTATAGTTGAAACCAGTCTTCAAAATAGCAGTGACCGTTTTATTGAAAAATAATTGAAAAGTGATAACGGAATCAATTGGAAAGTATTGGGTTTATAAGTGTATCTCTAAGATACTAGCTAATAGACACACCTGTGTTTTGTTGATGACCTCTTGATCTTTGCCAAGGGGTTTGTGGAGGGGGTTTCGGTGGTTGCAGAGGTGCTCCACAAGTTCTATCTTGTGTCAGAATTAAGATGTAATCTAAGTAAGAGTGAAATCTTTAGTGCTGGAGTCTCTGAGAATCTGAAAGAGGAGTTGGTTTCATGTTCTGGGTTTAAGGAAGGTAGACTGCCTGTTAGATACCTTGGTTTGCCTCTGAATGCAGGG